CGAAGAGAGCAATGTTCAAAGAGTAGACGCCCCTGTCACCGTGAGTCCCAGAACCCTCACTCAAATAATTATCTTGCTGCGCTTTTTTATTGCTGCTGTTATCCTATTTTGGCAATATTTGATCCCACGGAAGTTCTTCTCAGCAGTTTAACTATTCTGGTTCCCTATTTTTCAATTGATGATTGGGTTGGGAGCTCCTGAGAAATGTGTTGTGTTTTTGTTTCTTTTTCCTTTTACATTGGAGAATATGAGGCCCCTAAGCCAGTAGATTCCGTAGTTGTTTGGCAATATGATAGTGTAATTAACGGTTTTGGATTGATACTGGACACTCCAGTCCTGGACAATTTATGGCAGCTGAGTGATGATATTTGGTTTTTGTCACTTACATGGTAGTTTGGGTACAATCTGGTTTAGAATTTCAAATCTTGATGTTTAATGTACAAGTATTCTGGCTATTGTAAAATCGGTGCTTCGGAAACAGGTTCGCTTCTCATAAAGAAATAAAAAAAACAATTAATAGGTCAAAGGAAAGAAGGGCTTGTTTTCATTGAGGCATGGGTGTTTCTGTAAAAGCAATTAAGGTTGAGGTTCTTAAAGGAGACAGTATTGTCAAAGTTTCTTTACTACTTAGATGGAAAGAGTGGACATTTTGTAATCGAATAAACTCAAAAAGACAATAAGGTTACATTGTAGTTTCCTTGTTTTGCCTCTTATGCATTATTTCCTTTCAGAGAATAGTGTAACTATTTCCTTTTTGCAGTTAGTTTAACTGAGCGTTCTAGGGCTCATTAAGTAATTAGGCTTTGATTCCATGTGGATTTTTTTCCATCTTAGATTTGGTAGATCTTGAAGATGTCTATCACAGATATCTATAGATGCCGTCTTATTGTTGACATTGTAGTCATTTCCTGGTCATTGTGGATTCCACTTGTCTCTAAAACTGTTTGTAGGGCAGACAAGACCTATAGGCCGCTGGAAAATGAGAAATTATAGACATTGAAAGCATGTATAATGAAATAACATCATCCGGGAAGGATGTTGGAAACTGCTTTACAGAAAGTAGATTCAATTTTTAATTGGATGTGTCAAATGAAGGAGATATCCTGAAGTTATTGGCCAAGGATTACTATAGGATAGCTTTTAGGATGCCAATATGGGGCATAGGAGTTGTTCATTCATTTAAACTGTTCTTTCCAAGTCTCTTTTGTTGAAATTTGATTTGTATGTACTTTGGCCAATGACTTCCTCTGAAAAGATTGTTTGCAACATGTAAAGCTACAACATAAGGTCAGGCTAAGACTAAGTACAAGCCATTGCTAGGAAACCAATGGAGGAGTAAGTGATGCTAAAAAGGGACAACTTGCTTGATCAATCACATTTTTCTTTCAGACTCACAGAAAGCCAGCCCCTTTTGTTGGTGGGTTTTTCACTCCTCAGTGGGTGTCAGAATTGTTTCGTACCACAGATTGTGTTTGGTAGACTACTATGTGCGTAGCTCAATCAGTTGCCAAAACCCCAAAAGGGTTTGGGGGGAAATGGGTCCCTTAACAAATTTGAGAGTAAATAATGACATCCCCCTTTCGCTTCTTGTCCTCCTCTTTCCTTTGTGTTCTCTATTCTCTATGCCAATCATTAGAAGATTGTTTGCACCAAGAAGTTTTGTAAAGCTACAACAAAAGGTCAAATCAGGACTAAGTATGAGGCATTTCTAGGAAACCAATCAAATAAACAGTCATGCTAAAAAGGGAAACCCTGTTTGATCGAACACACTTTGGGTTTTGACTGTGAGAAATGTTATGAAATGGACTTCTGAAGAACAACAGAAAGAGTTGTCAAGGTTGGAAAAATGAAGCTCTAGCCTGGCTGCCTGGAAAGACTTTTAACTAGACATGCCAGTGAAGCTTCACTTGCCTTGATGTAGCCTTTCTGAGTGTCGCGCATTGACAAAGTTGGATGAAAATACTAGTAAATACTTCAATGACATTAGACCCTTTTATGTTTTTTCCCCTCATGTTCTGAATATTGGTTGCTTCTTTTTCAAACAGTTCTGTCAACCACTCTGTAGACGTGGAATTATCCTCTTATATAAATCAAATGAATAGAAGGTGACTATGCTTTAATCTAGTTCCATTAAAATGTAATTAGGGGAAGGCCGTTTTTGCTTCACACCCTAATCTTTAATTTATGGCAATTTGCCTATGGAGTGAAATTAATGCATAGTGGAATTGAAATTCTGAACCAGGTCAACTTTCTTTGAAGCTTTATTCAGTGGTTGAGTGCTTTTATGACCCTTTTTTATTGTTCCTCTCCCATAGACTACTTAATGCACTTGGAAGATGATGCCCATCATTGAATTCATTTGCCATTCTTTAACGTCTTGCTGAGTAGTTGTTAGTCTTGTACTGTGGAAAGTCCTTTTAATTATAGCAATTTTAACTAATGATTCTTTCCTTGGCAAATGCAGATATGTGGTGATATTCACGGGCAGTTTTATGACATGAAGGAGCTGTTTAGAGTGGGAGGTGATTGCCCAAAAACAAATTACTTGTTTCTTGGTGACTTTGTTGATAGAGGGTTTTACTCAGTTGAAACATTTCTTCTCCTCCTAGCTTTAAAGGTGATGAAATTCCCTTTAGATTATTGTATACATGTCTATGGTGCCTAACCATCTCTCCTTCAGGCTAGGATTTGCTTTCTGGGGAGGGAGGAGCTGGCATTAGAATTTCATTAGCTTAGAATTTTTTTCCCTTTATCTACCTTTCATCATTAAGGTAACAGTCTATCGACAATCTACTAGTTTACTTGTTTGAGATTTATCATGCCTTTAAATGGTTTTAAGTTGAAAGTTCATATGTTTATCTTTCCTTTAGCCTGGGTGGTAGCAACCTAATCACTTGGATCTCTAACACTGTATATTGCAATTATGGGCATGTTTCCAAGATGGTTTCATTTCTCTTCCTATAGATTTTTCGTACTTCAAGTCATTATGCTTGCTTCTTTCTCTATTTCTATAGATTTTTGCGTAGTCATTTATCCGTTAGTATACCTGTTTCTTCAACTAGTGGTTGGGAAAATGTCAGGTAAGATATCCAGATCGAATAACGCTAATAAGGGGGAACCATGAGAGCCGGCAGATTACACAGGTCAGTTCATCTTGATTTACGGTTTTCAAATTCATAGATGTAATTGTACTTTTCCTGTTTATGTTGTAGTTTTTTATTTTTTAATTTTACCTTGTTTTTAAACCCAGGTTTATGGATTCTATGATGAGTGCCTGCGCAAATATGGTTCTGTCAATGTTTGGAGATACTGCACTGATATATTTGATTACTTGAGGTTTGCTACTTCCTAGTTGTTGCTTGACAAAATTGTCCATAGATTTTTAGCGGCCTAGTTGCAAGAAGTGTTTACCTAACAATATCCTGTATTATGATCCTTAATCATCCATGACATCGGAACTGCTTGACTTGCCCCTACAACTAGCTAGGGTTTTCTTTGAGGATCACTCTGATTTATTGTGACATCCTGCTTATCCTGAGAAATGCTTGGAAAAATATTGTCTGTTGAACTAGTTGTTTGCTCTTCTCAGGAGAATGACATCTGATGGCTCAAATAATCTGGTTAAATCTCACTGACTTGTCTTGAGGTCCAATCTCCCTGCAGGTTTTGAAAATTACATGGATCTCTCTTTTTGGGTTAGATAACATCATAACATGTTAAACAAGCCTCGTGAACTAATACTAACATCATTACAACTTGCTGGCATTATCAACTGAATTTCTTGTATCTCATAGTACCTTTTTAAAATTATCTTTTCAAAGATGATAGATTGGGGGCTCGCTGTATGGATATTCTGATTCTGTGAAAGACCTGATATTTTCAGAAGGCTTCCCAGAAGAAGACTGTGTAATTCCAAACATTAAGAGACATCCTTGTAATAAAACTTGACGACGCAGTAGATTTCTTGTGATCAGAATTTTAGCTACTTATAAATTCACTCGATACCATTGATTTGATTTGCATGAAATTTTGCGCTCTGAATTTTGGTGACAAATTTTCGCAGCCTGTCGGCTCTCATCGAGAACAAGATATTTTCTGTCCATGGAGGTCTTTCCCCAGCAATTTCCACATTAGATCAGGTTTAAAATTTCATCCTGAATTATTAGCTTCTAAATGTGGGTGGTGTGTGTGTCGTTCACACTGTGGTTCTACCTACTTGTCAGATAAGGACAATTGATAGGAAACAAGAGGTACCTCATGATGGTGCTATGTGTGACCTCCTTTGGTCTGACCCAGAAGACATTGTTGATGGCTGGGGTTTGAGTCCTCGTGGTGCTGGTTTCCTGTTTGGTGGCAGTGTTGTCACTTCATTCAACCATTCAAATAACATCGACTATATCTGCCGCGCACATCAGTTAGTGATGGAAGGTTACAAGTGGATGTTCAACAATCAGATAGTTACCGTGTGGTCGGCTCCAAATTACTGTTACAGGTAAAATGGGTAACCATGCATTCTTGAGTTCGGTTGCTTGGGACTCGATTTTTCTATTTACACGGATGAGTTACAGATGTGGGAATGTAGCTGCAATTCTTGAACTGGATGAGAATCTTAACAAGGAGTTCCGTGTTTTTGAAGCAGCTCCACAGGTCGGTGCTTTAATTAATGCATCTATGGGGCTGGTGTTTTGTCTGTGTTATCACCTCCTTTCTTTTTCACTTCTGTCTCATGCATTGAATAATAATGGCAAAATGCAGGAAGCTAGAGGAGCTCCTGCAAGAAAACCCCCACCGGACTACTTCCTATGAAATTGGTTTTGGGGGCTTTCATTTTTTGCCAAATTGTACACCCTAGTTAAGCAGATGATGGTATGATTGAAGAGGCTTACGTGTCACGCTCCAAGCAACCAGACTCAACAGCAGTAGCGGTGAAGCTCCTTGGATGACCAGCAAAAACGGTGCTCTTACTATTGCAATGAATTAAAGTTACTGGGTTGCATTTCTTCAAGATTCCACATTCTTTCACCTCCTGTTTTTATTTGTGAAATTGGTGTGTTGCATAGCTTGTCGTTACATATTTCATTGCGTACAAAAATCACAGACGATCACTTTAAAAGAGAAATGAGAGAGATGATCAAAGCAAATGAGCGGATTCAAGACGGCGTGTGATGTTAAAACTCCATTTTTCGCTTTTGCTATTTTAGTGAAGAGATCGTTTCATCAGCCACGTTGGCGCAGCGAAATATCTCAATTTCTCACGTCTCAGAAATCTTGGTAGCTGCTAGCACACGACGGTTAGTATTTTTTGAGCAGAAAGGCAAACTGAGTGTGGGACATTGTGATGCAGGCTCCGAGTACGTGCATTTCCTCCTAATGCTGAAACATGTCTGGACTCGTCCGAATATGCGCAGAAACGAGCTTAAAACAAACGAGTTTGGCATTGAAAATAGCAAAAAATGGTCCAGGATGAAAGAAAAGCTCTGGTCCAGGCTTTATCACTATCGTTGGCCTTGAGAGTTAAATCTGATCAATGTCGTCATCCCCGAACTCAAGATAGCTAATATCACCATGGCCGTCATCATCATCATCCATCTCTCCAGCGATCCCCTCATTGAGTCTGACGTTATCCGGCAGCTCACCGTAAGCCTTCAAGAGCCTGGCTTCATCGGGCATGTACTTGAGGATGACATCAGCCTTGTCGTCCTGATAGTCCCGGAGGCCAACGAGGATAATGTCGCCGGTGGTGATCCAGACCTTCTTGTGCATTTTCCCTCTAATGTGACAGAGTCTCTTGTTCTGGTCAATGCACATGGCTTCACAGCGGCCATTACCTAACATGCGCAAAACCTGGGCATACTCTTGGCCGTCTTCTTTGAAAACCAGCTCTCGCTTCTCGTCGTCCGCCTCATTCTTTCCTCTCTTCCTGTTCTTGCCCCCTTTGCCCTTGTTTTTTGGCATGATGAATGAGGTGAAACCATAAAACTGCAAGTGCAAATGGGCTCTTCTTTAGCGGGCGGGGGGCGGGGAATTTGCTATTTTTTCGGATGTTTTGTGGCTTGCGAGTAGCGACCCAGGCCCATGAGGGAGAGAGAGTATTGGGGCTTTTCTTTTTTTTTTTTTCAAGAAAAAGAATGAAGTGTTTGGTGGAGGACTCTTCTTGGTTCCGTGGCTTCCATTTGGAATATCATTTTGGGTACCTTACGGAATTTGGTATTCCATGAATTCCTGTACTATGGTTCCGAAAGGTAAATTGGACGTGAGTTTTGCAAACTGTAGCGCCTGAGATTTATTTATAGCTACAAATCACTCAATAACCCCACCCCCCAAAAAAAAAAAAACAAGAGAAGACAGACAGACATTATTGGTAGCCTATGGAAGATTATTTGAATATGATGCATTTTATAATCCAAATTTAATGAATGTGGCAAGGGAGCTCTCTCAATTCTCAAATGGCACGTAACCCATTGATTGGTGAGTTGTCAACAAGAAATCATATTAAAATCGCAATTCCAACCTTGCAAATTAGGGTTGTTCTAGGCAACCCACAAGTTTGCAAATCGCAATTCAAAAAAAGTTTTGTGGAAGTAATTTTGTGAACGTCCACCCAAGCATTAAATGCTTCTTAGCATATCACTCAAGTTGATTTTTGTCCAATTTAGTACAGGAGTGAGTGATGTCGGATGAGGTACGGTAATTAGCAGCAACTGATCCATTCTCAGCTACTACTCCACAGGACAACTCTTCTGAATTCTCCCGAGCCTCGACTGAGAGAGAGGAAGGCAGCGAATAAACGGATCCCCATCCCAGACGCCGGACCGGTGGCAGGCTTATTGCAGTTGGAAGAATAGAACTAGAGATTGAATGATGGTAATTTAGTACCACTACTGTACTCCAGTCTTCAGCTTTTAATTTTACTCACATTTATTGCTCAATTTCTTGACCGATTATCAACGTTTTCCCAGATTACTCATTGGACGCTTCTTTCTGTTCATATCCACCGGTTTTCATAATCTGGTCACCCTTAGAGCTGAAAAGCGTGCTCCTCTGCTGATGATTCATCCCTCCTCGTTTACCTCGTGATTTATGAAGCTCCAGCCAGCTCCCGAACCAGAAGTAATATAGAAAACTCCAAAAAAAGTCTTATCAACATAGACCCCCTTTTGCATTTAACTCCTCCTGCGAGTCATGACCAACATACCTGAGAGTTGCTTTCAAGTTTAAATGTACAATTCTCTCCCACACACGTTCTCATCCTCCAATTGAATTATTCACGTGGGATTCAAATTTGTTTCCATTTATTGAGGTGTTTGCCTGGTTTGAATTTTACTTCATGGGACATTCAGTTGATTCAGCTGGATTATTGGTAGTGCTATGGTTAATGATTTCTTCTTGGGCCTATGTTGGATCTAGTGAAGGGTACATATCTTATGAGATATCCGATAAAGGTCTCGACTTTGTCAAAGATTTGTTAATTGAAAAAGCCGAGACTTCCTTGGTTCCACTTGAGCTGCCTAATATTGAGAAGACTGTCAAAATTCCAGTGATTGGTACAGTTAGCATGGAGGTTTCGAATGTTACCCTCTACAGGGTTCACGTTACTTCCTCAACTGTTAAAACTGGTGATACTGGCATCCTTGTTGATGTTGCTGGCGCCACCGCTAATTTGACTATGCACTGGGGGTATTCCTACAGCACCTGGTTGCTTCCAATCTCAATTTCGGATCAAGGGGAGGCAGAAGTTCAGGTGATACCACTAATAAGTCTCAGTTTTGCTTGCTATACTTCTGAATTATAATTCATGTACATGCCATTGAGCTTTCTTATACGTGTTACTGTTTGGATTAAGCTTGTGAATGATGATGCAGTGTAAATATGCTTTGCATCGCAAAACAAATTATGCGAGCTTACTACTTAAATCCTATCAGTTCATCAATTACTAGCAAAATTGATGCCTTTGTATTGTTTGTTGCCAAAGCATTCAGCCTTTTGCGTGAGGATGTGCAGTTCCTCCCTGCACTGGCTTCTCAGGAACTTAGATCATGTAGAATTGATGCATTATGGAAGCATTAGCATCTGGGCTAGCAAACATGTCAATGTTAGTGCTCGTGTCCGGACATTCTTTGTCATCAGCTGAGTAGTTCAGCTGGAACTAGCTAAAACTAAATGTAACAGTATAGTTAATGTAGTTGCTTACAAAATACCATGTATACGGTGTTGCTTTGCTCTCATAACATCGCACAGTCATGATTGCCTATTAAATTTTTGTCTTTACAAAGAGAATTGATGAAAGATACGTCTTCAAAGATTGAAGGTATGGAAATTGGGCTTTTGCTTGATTTGAAGAATCAGCAAGGATCTCTTAAGCTGTCACTCGTGGATTGTGGTTGCTATGTGAAAGATCTATCCATTGATTTGGCTGGTGGAGCGTCCTGGCTATATCAAGGGTAAAGAGTCATTTGATGCCCTTCCACTTAAGAAACCTCTCTCTCTCTCTCTCTCTCCCCCTTTTCTGGATGCCTGAAGTTATTTTTTCTGTCATTCAAAAATGTGATTTGGACCTAAAACTAAATGAAATGTTGTAGCTTCACTTCCATCAGACAAATGAGAAATTGATCATCTCATTTTGCTTCACAACATCAGGAAGTTTTTCCTGATATTGATTATTTGCTTCTACCATTTTTAAAGATTCACAGTTCGCCCGGTATCCAAAGTCTCTTTGACAGAAGATGGAAATCAGTCCATCAGTTTGATGGGCAATTTAGCACGTCATTGCAATTGAAACCAGTGAAAAGCCATGAGCATAGTTCAAGGAAATTTGCCTCATGTTCTTTGATTATCGTTCTCCATCCCCTTGCTTTCAGCGAGAGGGGCATGAGGTGTTGTCAACAGAGATAGAAAGCCTACTATATAGGTTTCCTAGGAAAAAACACATTTTATAATTGTGGGCACAATGCACTTAGGCGATAATGGAAGAAAATCATCTTAGAACTATAATCTCTATCTTATCATGATAGTGATCCAATTTAATGTTTGGCTTATTATACTCCTGATGAGATGGGGGCTTGTAAAGAATAAACAGACTTTCCTATGAACACACCTGCTGCTTTAGCTTAATAGGGCTACTATGGTTAGCATTATTTTGATCGTATTTCTTGGAACTGCTTTGTGTTGATACAACAGACTAATCTAATGAAATTATCAGGCTACTTAACACACACACCATCCTCATTGGTTTTGCATGACTTTCGTTTTGCCTGTCATTATTCTGTTTGAGCTTCCAACTATCCCTATACTGATTCCTTTGTTGTTTTCAAGATTGGTAGATGCTTTCGAAGATAAAATAGCATCTGCAGTTGAAGATGCTGTTTTGAAGAAATTAATAGGTGCAATTCAAGAGCTTGATTCTTTTCTGCAATCTCTGCCGAAAGAAGTTACAGTAAACAATATTTCTGCTTTAAATGTCACCATCGTCGGTGACCCAAAATTAAGTAACTCTTCTCTTGAACTTGAAATCAATGGTTTATTCAGTCTCAAGGATGAAGCTGCAGTTTCCAAACTTCAGCGTGAGAATGTTGAAGTTCCATTTTCCTGCAATGGTCCAGCTAGGATGGTGGGGATCTCAGTGCATGAGAATGTCCTCGAATCGGCATCTGCAGTCTACTTTGAAGTAAGACTTGAAAGAAAAGTTTCATGAACTCTGATCACTTTCTTTCTGTTAGCTATTCCTTTGGTTCTATGTTTTGTGTTGGTTATTGATTGCTAGCATCAGCTTGTTATTTATAATATCTTCTGATTAGTTGCCAGACAATATTGGGGTGTTAACTTACCTTTTTGTTGGACATCTGTCTAATGATTTTAATTTCGTGTTCAGGCCAATAAAATGCATTGGATTGTTGACAATATACCTGATCAGAATTTGATGAACACTGCTGAGTGGAGGTTCATTATTCCTCAGCTCTACAAACAATACCCAAATGATGACTTGAACCTCAATATTTCTGTGCATTCCAATCCAATATTAAAAATTGGTGAGAAGCAGATTGATGCAACAATCCCCTTAAAAGTGATAATTGATGTGTTGGACGATGGTCAAGTAGTACCGGTTGCATGTATTTCTGTGGTAAGCTTCTGGATGACATTGCATCCAAATCTTGTGAACTTTCTCATTTCACTTCTCAGGTTGACCGAGTTTGGTTGATGCTAGTGTTCTTTTACAAGGATACTCTGACCCACGTTCTGAACTTAAGTTGTCTAAGCTTTCCCATGTTTTTAAGGGTAGTTGTGGACATAAATTTTGATCACATGATTGTGTAATTGGACCGTGCTTCAGTTTAATTACCGTGCATTTCCTGACTGAAAGAGGAAGATGGGAGGGTGACCTTTTGTTGTGACAGACTAGGTCTGATTATGCGGGTAGTGTTTTGAATTGTGGAAGCTGTTTGTTTGAGGATTATTATACCATATCTTCGATACTTAAATACGGGTGGCCTTTGTGATGATCGACCCATTTAGATGGAATGTGACGACGCACAGCTGTTTTAGATACATCATTCATCTGTGATCTTTTGAAAAAGGGACTTCATTTTCCTAACAGCATCGGGAATGGAATGGTCAAGTTAATAGGACTTATGATTCTAGGGGTTGATTTACTTGCAGAAGGCAGTTTATTTTGCCCGAGTTAAGACTTTATTGTTTGTGTTTATCCATCAAAATTTGGCACTGTCTTCCAGACCTTATTATAGCTTCGTTATCGTGCCAGGTAATTAGCGCTGCTGCTTATCCAGAAGTCTCACGTAATGCTCTAGCTGTCAGCGTGAAGTTAAATGAATTTACTATGTCCCAGGATTGGAGCAAAATTGGTAACCTCCACATGTATCTTGTTCAGGTATGTCCATTCAAGCGCTCATCCAACTTCCAACTGGTTTCCTAATGCTGTGATGCGCTTATAACATCATCCTAGTTCCAGCAGTAAAACCTAACAAGCATCAGGCATGTCTATCCAGATTCATTTATAACTTTCTGAAATAGTCGTAATCAGCAGACTTTAATTAGCAAAATTTGTGAAAGGAAATTGTTATAGCCCTTGTGCAGAACGTGAGGGTAAGATGTCTCGTGTAGCCGATAGAAGTGTGTCTCATACCAGCAAGTCAACATTTTAGAAATGGTTAATGATGTGATCGATTTCCATTTTTAACA